GTCACAGCATAGGGAGGGCAACTACGGTCACATATCAGTGTATGTATAAATTTTGTATGAGAGACTAACTTGAATTGTAAATTTTCCCTTAAAGCACAATTTAAAAAAAAAAACTTCTAGAAAAAAAATTGCAGCCTAAGAATCCCTATGAGGCAGTTCTACTCTGTCCTGTTGGGTCCCTATGGGTCGGAATCAGCTCAACGGCACACAACAACAGGGTATCAGGTAGACCTATTTTATCCGTCTCCTCAACTGCCATGAAATTACGTATATATGTTTGGTTTTTTTTTTTTTTTTTTTTTCCTTTAATCCCAGGGCTGATACAGAGGCCTTCCTTTTTTCTGGTCTAATTCCCCTTCTACAACTATCTACTGTAATTCTTGTTACCAAAATGTCATCTCCTGCTTCAGGCCGTTGTGCTTGTATTGCCCACTTTATCAATCTGCATTACCCTGACCCCCTTGGTCCTTTACTAATAATACCTTCTCTCTTTTCACTAATCTCTTTTCTCGGCCCCAGAGTACACTCCTTTCTAGCCAGGTAAATTCGTTCAGCATCTGCAGGTGGCCTTTCCCTGCCTCTCCTTCCTCCCACATTCAGCATGCTTATTCCCACCTTCCTGACTTCTAGTGTACAACTTTCCAGTGTAGAATGTGCTCATGTTTCCAACCAAACTGTGTTTTCTTAATGCATTAATTTATTCAACAGATAATTATTTAGTATTCGCTGTATGCCAGGTATTTTGCTAGGGAGTAAGGATATAAAGTTCTTGCTCTCAGGGACCTTCAGACCTGTGGGGGAGACAGAGATAAATAGGCAATTACAATTCAGTGTGATTAGTGCTAGGATAAAAACATTTGATGCCAGGGAGGCAGGTTTAGAAGAGACATCTTGGTGTATGTAGGGGGTGGTATCATGGAGGCTTTTTCTAAAGGTGTTGATAACCTGTTGTTGTTAGGTGCCATTGAGCTCATTGCAACTCACAGCAACTCTGTGTACAACAGAACGAAACACTGCCCAGTCCTGCGCCATCCTCACAGTCGCTGCTATGTTTGAGCCCATTGTTGGAGCCACCGTGTCAGCCCATCTTGTTGGGGGTCTTCCTCTTTTTCGCTGTCCTTCTTCTTTACCAAGCATGCTGTCTTTCTCCAGGGACTTGCCCCTCCTGATAACATGCCCAAAGTACATGAGACAAAGTCTCACCATCGTTGCTCTAAAGAGTATTCTGGCTGTAATTCTTCCAAGACAGATATGTTCGTTCTCCTGGTAGTCCATGGTGTATTCAGTATCCTTCGCCAACACCATAATTCAAAGGCATCAATTCTTCTTTGATGTTCCGTATTTATTGTCCAGCTTTCACTTGCATATGAGACGATTGAAAGTACCATAGCGTGGATCAGGCACACCTTAGTCCTCAAAGTGACATCTTTGCTTTTTAACATCTTAAAGAGGTCTTTTGAAGCAGATTTGCTCAATGCAACATGTCCTTTGGTTTCCTGACTGCTGCTCCTATGAGCATTGATTGTGGATCCAAGTAAATTGAAATCCTTAGCAACTGCAGTCTTTTCTCCGTTTATCATGATGTTGGTAATTGGTCCAGTTGTGAGGATTTTTGTTTTATATTGAGGTACAATCCATAGTGAAAGTCTTTGATCTTCATCAGTAAGTGCTTCAAGTCCTCTTCACTTTCAGCAAGCAAAGTTGTGTCATCTGCATATTGCAGGTTGTTAATGAGTCTTCCTCCAATCCTGA